TTCTAACCTGCATAAATAAATAGCAAATATTTAATATTTATAACATATTATTAATGCATAAATAAATAATTAAATTAATTACAAAAACCAATTAAAAATTACTTACCAGCCACCACCAGCAACCTACCACCCACCAACCTACAGCCAGATCCAACCGGAGACCAAGAGAGAAATGAGAGAGAAGAGAAGCCGGAGATGGAGAGCAAGAGTGACTGAGAAGGAGAGAAGAGAGTTGGGGTGGGGGAGCAAGAGAGATTCAGAATGAGAGAAGAGAGTTAAGGAGCAAGAGAGAAGAGAGTTGGGGGAGCTGGGTTTAAATGGATTAGGGATGGCACATGTGGGTCCCTACGCCAACTGTGCCAAGTGGAAAATGCAGGGGTGGGGCCATGCTTTAGGGGTCAAAGGTTGCAGGGTCAAAGGGTCAAAGGTTGTTCTATCCTCTACATGCAAGCAGCCAGGCTTATGTGCAAAACGCCTCCTCTCTATGCCAACTTAATTTTTTTTTGTCTTCCTCAAAGGGACCTGTCCCCCTGTGCTATCTTTGGTTTCTAGCACGTGGTAGAAATCACTTACTTTGGTAATATATATTTTTTTTTATTTTCGGTATTTTTATTTATTTTTATTTTAATTTCGTCAAAAAGTCTTCATTGCTTATCAAATTGATGTTATTTTTATGTCAAATTTTAATGGGACATTCCCCCATATTTTAACAAAATTTCAAGACAAATTTTAGTCCATTCAGATTTTTGTACCAAGGGAAACGTCTATTTAATTTAACCAATACTTTATTTAAGTCACTCTAAAATGTGTAAAAGTTGTAGAAAATGATAGCTTATGGACCATATAATATATACCTAAGATTGAGGTTTTCTGGCCAAAATAATGACAGATGACCATCATTTTGGAGTTATTAACATTTTGAGTGAAAATGAATTTTCTGATAAATACTTCGTGCTTTGGATTATGGATAGTTGTTAACTAAATGAATGACGACTTAAAATCAAGCCAAACGTAATCGA